AGTAGTAGTAGTAGTAGTCGTAGTAGTTAGTAGTAGTCGTAGTAGTAGTAGTAGTAGTAGTAGTAGTAGTAGTAGTAGTAGTAGTAGTAGTAGTAGTAGTAGTAGTAGTAGTAGTAGTAGTAGTAGTAGTAGTAGTAGTAGTAGTAGTAGTAGTAGTAGTAGTAGTAGTAGTAGTAGTAGTAGTAGTAGTAGTAGTAGTAGTAGTAGTAGTAGTAGTAGTAGTAGTAGTAGTAGTAGTAGTAGTAGTAGTAGTAGTAGTAGTAGTAGTAGTAGTAGTAGTAGTAGTAGTAGTAGGGCGCGTCATCCGCAGGCTAGGCCCCGGGACTGTGAGGCCAGGTTCGCCGCCGCCCACGCAGCGGCCGAACAGCTTTTGCTCCACCGCGGTGTCGTGCTGAAGTTTCTTGCGGGCCTGGATTGGCCCGACAGGGGTCGTCTCCCAGGCCGCCGCGGGGCCCCAAAGGGGATTCAGCTGGAGCTTGAAAAGGTCTCACAACGGGCACACCCTTGAACGTCTTGGGCGTGCGTGGGGATGTCTCAAGTGCGGGATCCGCAGGGCCACTGGGGCCAAGGTTGTGTCTTTCCCGTGCGTCGGGGTCCACAGGCCCGCTTCCTTGGCCCACGGTTCCCATCGGCTCTGGGTCGTTCGGTGTCGTCGGGGCCTGCGGGGGGTTCGTCGTCGGGGGGTGTCCAGACCGATGGGAGCCAGGAGGCCATCGTTTTCTGTAATCGCTGCGGGGCCTACGCTCGGCGGCAGACTCATTTGCTGCGTTCCGAGTGTCGCCCAACGAATCGTCTGGCCAGGAAGGCCCTTGACAGGCTCCGCGCGGGGAGGGGGCCCCACTCGAACGAGTATTGGGGGCTCCCCTTCCCATTAATTCGGCGTCAGTTTTTAAACCTGGTTTAACACTTGCCGTTCTGCCCTGGTCTGCAGCTAACGAGTTTAACCGCGGAGCCCTGGGTGTTGGTCCTGGGCTGAAGGTCGCCGGCCGTCCCTGGGAGAGTTCCTGCGTAGTCGTAGGCTGTGGTTGGGTCTCATGAAACTCATCGCTTTTAGGACATAGGACACAGAGGAGGAGGAGGAGGAAGAGGAAGAGGAGGAGGAGGAGGAGGAGGAGGAGGAGGAGGAGGAGGAGGAGGAGGAGGAGGAGGAGGAGGAGGAGGAGGAGGGGAAGGAGGAGGAGGAGGAGCAGGAGGAGGAGGAGGGGGAGGAGGAGGAGGGGGAGGAGGAGGAGGAGGAGGAGGAGGAGGAGGAGGAGGAGGAGGAAGAGGACGAGGAGGGGAGGGAGGAGGAGGAGGAGCAGGAGGAGACGAGGAGGAGGACGAGGAGGAGGAGGAGGAGGAGGAGCAGGAGGGAGGAGGAGGAGGGAGGAGGAGGAGGAGGAGGAGGAGGGGGAGGAGGAGGAGGAGGAAAAGGTGGAGGAGGAGGAGGAGGAGGAGGAGGAGGAGGAGGGGGAGGTGGAGGAGGAAGAGGAGGAGGAAGAGGAGGGGGAGGAGGAGGAGGAGGAGCAGGAGGAGCAGGAGGAGGAGGAGGCGGAGGAGGAGGAGTAGGAGGAGGAGAAAGAGGAGGAGGAGGAGGAGGAGAAAGAGGAGGAGCAGGAGGAGGAGCAGGAGGAAGGGGGGAAGAGGAGGCCCAGCGTAAAACAAACACTCATAATTGATACTGGATTCAGCCCTACCTTCAAGCTCTCTCTCTCTCTCTCCTCATCGGCCACTATAAGGTTTTGGTTTCACTCAGGAAGTGCCCCGTTTGGAGACAACCGTTGGAAGATCCTGAAGCGTGCCAAGACACAATTTTTGGAAGTTCAGCGCCACGAGCCATCTTGACTATTGCGTCTTGACGATCCCGAATTGTGCAGAACACCGTTCGTAGCTTAGAAGCTCAACGCCGTGAAACAACGTTACTGTTGCGCTTCGACAATCTTGAATCGATCCCAAACATTTCTGGAACGTTAACCATGGGAGTCCTTGTAACCCTTGCAATTTCTTAAGATGAGTGTGCGTGGCGCGAAGGCGAGAACCACATTTTGAAACGGAACCGCCCTCAATCCGTGAAGCGATTGTAAGTTTCAAAAAGGAATTTGCGCGGCGCCAAGGCGAGAACCATATTTTGAAATCGATCCGCCCTCAACTCGTCAAGCTCTTGGGATAGCTTGGCAGTTTTTGAAGACGAATGTGCGCGGCGCTGAGGTTCTGAAAACCGCTGGCCCTAAATCCGCGAAGTTCTTACATTTTTTAATGACGAATGTGCGCGGCGCCACGGCGAGAGCCACATTTTGAAAACGATCTGCCCTCAATCCGTGAAGCTCTGGCAAGCTTGTGTGACGAATGTGCCCGGCGCAAAGGTGCGAGCCACATTTTGGAAGCGGCCCACCCTCCATGTGGAGCTGCTTTCAGTTGTAAAGCTACAGGGACTTGAAGTATGGGGAAATCTCAGGCGAAACGCCCGGCCCGCCCTTCCAATCGGCTCCGGGGTGCGACAGGGAGTGGTTGTTTACAAAGACAAGCTTGTAGCGGAGGGGGGGGGAGAGCCGCTTGTCTCCTCGGGGTCGGGCCGGGAGCTGGGGCTGGAACCTGGAGCCGGGGCCCTGGGCCAGGGCCAGGGCCTGGGCCGGGACCCGGACCGAGACCTGGGCCAGGGCCTGGGCTGGGACCCGCGCCGGGGGCCGGGGCCGGGGCTGGGGCTGGAGCCAGGGCCGAGGCGGAGGAGTCCTAAGCTCCCGTGCTGACAGGGAGACCACTCCCTGGTCCCCCTGTTGCCACAGGTGGGGCCGCCCGGGGTGGGGGTCGCGACCCGTCCCCGGGCCGCCGGGGTCCCCCGGGGCGCCCCCCTTGCTGGGATCCCCCCGGAACACCTCCCAGACCCCCCCGTCGAGGGCCCCCCCCCCCCTGGTTCTCCCCCCGTGACCGCCCCCCGGGATCCCCCCCCCCTCTCCTTTATAGCGGGGAAGGGATAAAGGGACGGGGCTTTTCTCTAACGTAATTGCGACATTGTTGGACCCCCTTGTTTGTTTGATCTCCCTTACGGCGGCGATGACGACGACGATTCAAAGAAGGCTGGCGTACTTCAGTTTGGGCTGGGCTGGCCTCGCGTCGAAGGGCCTTTCACTCACGCCGACTGTGTCGGCGGATTTGATGGTTGGCTGGGCTCGCGCAAGTCTTCAGGCCTGGCCACATCCTGCCTGACTCTCTCATGACGTCGACAAGATCTTTCAGAAGCGCGCGTGAAAGACGTCTGCAGACACTTTGCGCCATCAAGAACTCGAGGTCCGGCAACTCTACGTATTCTGGGACACAGACGGAGTCACGTCCAGCCCTTAAGTGTTTTTTGTTTGCGCGCATGGTGGTGTTGAGCAGCAGATATGGAGGACGCGTGTTCTTTATCCCCTAAATAATTTGCTTTCATTTCGGGTGGCTAGCTGTTGTAGCCTCGGTCAGTGATGTGGGGAAGACGGTTGAGCTAACCTCGCCTTGACAGTAGGCGCGGCTGTACTTTCCGATGCTGGCGTTTGATTCTGGATCACTGCGGGTTCCCACCGCACAGTGGCGGCGGTGTGAGACTGTTAAGGGCTGGCAGGCAGGGCATGTAAATGCAAATGACCGAGATATCGTCCACCATGTTCTGCAGTCTCAGAATATCAGCCCGCGTATTCAAGGCCCCCCCCAGACACGCGAGGATAACTGCGCTTCTGGCCACGCGGGTGTGCGGTGATAGCGCATCGCGCATCGCGCAGCACGAAGCGTGGTTTGTAAGCGACATGTAGCGTGTGCTTCGTTCTGCATCGGACAACACTGCATTGTAAGGGGTTAGTGTCTTTTCTTCCTTGAACAGTTTTCTTGTTGCGTCCTTTCTCGTACTCGTGGCAGATTCTGCTACCACGCGTGTCTCGATTGTGCTCGTATGTTTAGCGTCGCATTTCCTTACGACACTTTCCAGTTCATACAGTCAATGCGCTGAAACAAGGAACAGCTTGGGCACGAAAGGAGCTCGATGTTCCCTAGGTCATCCTGTGGTTGTTCCTCTAGCCCTCCTCGTGCACACTGGCGCTTTGGAGGCCCAAAAGGGGCTTCAATCCATGTTGACCGTTCCTTATTTCAGCGGCCCGACTGTATTCTGCGTTCACCATTGCTGGAAGTGCTTTCTATGTGTCAGTACCGTGTAATGTAGTGTCTTCATTTTCCCTCCGCATATGTTTTGCCGGTCTTTGGTTGCTCAGTTCTATGTAGTATGGTGTACGTCGAGATTTGTTTGACTCTTTGTGCGCATCCTTTCATGCTACAGCCGTATGCCACGACGAGGCCCGCATGCCGGTTCCAGGGTAGGCGTCAGGCACGGGGGAGGCGTTCGCGGTGAGGGCCTAACATCCCGCAGACGTGATTCCTGCAAAGTCCTTCTGTCCCACGTTGAGGCCATCATGAGGCCGTCGTGCCGAGGGCCTCAACGTCTCCCACGTGTGATTTCTGCACTCGAGGACGGGCGGTGCATGTTGAGGCCATAACGAGGCCTTGTTGAAACTCTCGCGGTGAGGGCCCCAATATCTCCCGTGCATGATTCCCGCATAGACTTCAACTACTCGCGGTTCACGTTGAGGCCACGTTGAGGCGTTCTCGGTGAGGGCTTCAACATCCCCAACACGGCCTATACGTGAGGCCTTGAAATCCTCGCAGATCTGCGGTGCACGTTGAGGCTGCGCTGCGGCCCTGTTGAGGCCTTCGCGGTGAGAGCATCCACGTGTTCCTGACGTAGTTCCCGAATGGTCCTCGAGGGAGGTTTTGCAATACCGAGGCCACCTTGAGGCCCTCGCGGTGAGAGCATCGACACCCTCCGTACGTAACTCCCGTGTAGTCCTCGAGGCCATCTCGTGCAGGTTTTTGCCAGCTCTGGTTCTTATTGCACTGACGGTGTGCGCATATGGGGCCTCGATGCGCGCCCTGCGCGGCAGCCACGGGTAACCCGCGGCGTACGCGACGTGATGCCAGAATCCCGTATTCTTGCAAGTCATGAAGTTCAGATTTGCTAACGGGTCATTTTGATAGCAATTCGCTAAGGATTCTGGGTACCCTGTGGGGAACCTTGGGGGGCCTCGAGAGGTCTGCTTTAGGTGGAAGGCTTGAAGAAGCCCTCAGCTAGGGCGACGAGCTCTTACATATCCCGTGCCTTGCGAATCATACATGTAGTGTGCGCTTGTGTGTATAGCATGCTGTTGTTGCCCGCTGCCTCTTTGGCTCAGACAGATTTCCCTGCACCGCCATCTGGCCGAACGGTACGGATTGGCACAGAAAAACATATCGGATACGTGATATTCCCAAGCTTCAGGTTTTCGAAGGTTTGTTTGCGAGGACTGTCGCTGTGTGTTAGTAGCTTTCGAGACCAACGCGTGACTGTGCTACCCGTCGCATTGGTAGTGGAGCCGGTGATAGCCGGCTCGTCCCGTGGCCCTTGCCTTGAACCTAAACCGAAAACGATGTCTTGATCGGGGCCGCTTCGCTCTGACCGCCCAACCTTCGATATAACATTGAGGTTAGAAGCTCGTTTGGGTCCCCGACATTGTCAATGACAAACGACACGGCGTTCTCCTTCTCCTCCCCCTCCCAATCTGATTCCCTTCCAGGCAGGAGTCATTGAAAACCATACGAACAGCAACACATATTATCCTGGCGAAGGCCCCGAGCATATGCAACTGCGATCGCCGCAAGGCAAATGAATCCAAGGAGGGGGCGAGCAAACCGCGAATGACGTCGGGTGTGGCCCCTCCCCATAGGCAGCGCGCCACGGAAAGGATGGGGTGCGGGGCAGTGTGGATCGGGGGCCGAGATCGGAGCAGACGGGCTCCGCAGGGTGAGGAGAATCGGGAGCCTGCAAGCGTGGCCTTCGGGAGAACGCCCTATGGGGCTACGAGGCGTGTGAAGGCTGTGCCGAGATGAGAGGCGGGGACGCCTGTGAACCCTGCCTGCTGGGGACTTTGTTGGAGCTCCCTATGGTGCCACGAGGCGTGCGAGGGGTGTGCCAAAATGTATGGGGGTGGCGGCATACGGGCTCTCTTGCTAGAGCCTTCAGTGGAGCTCCCACTGGGGCCACGAAGCGTGTGAGGGATGTGCCAAAGTGGGGGGGTTTTAGCATGCGGGCCCTCCGACTGGAGCCTTCGGTGGCTCTCCCTGTGGGGCCACGAAGCGGGTGAGTGGTGTGCCAAAGTGGGGGGGCGGCGTACGGGCCTTCTGGAGCCTCCAGTGGAGCTCCCTATGGGGCCACGAAGCCTCTGAGAAATGTACCGAAGTGCGGGCTATGGCGGCTTGCGGGCCTTCTTGCTAGAGCTTTTAGTGGAGCTCCCCATGGGACCACGAAGCGTCTGAGGGGAGTGCCGAAGATGGGGGGGCGGTGACATATGGGCCCTCCTTCTGGAGCCTTCGGTGGAGCTCCCTATGTGGCCACGGAGTGCGTGAGGGGTGTGCCGACATGTGATGGACACTGGTGATGCTGATGGCGATCCTATTGATGACGAGGGTGTAAGGGTAGTTATGGGTATGAATGGGTCTCATTGTGAGTGAGTCTGCGTATGGGTGAGTGTTAGTGTGAGTGAGCCTGAGGGTGAGCGCACTAATTGTGATGGCATCGGCACGGAAAGGAGAGAAGATGAGGGGAGGAGAGGAGGGAAGGAGAAGGCGGAGGCGTCACATCACTAACGAGAACAACACCTCAGGACTTGGGGAACAAGAGCCCCATTCGATGCTATGGGGAACATAACTACATCTTAGCATATGGGGCATGAGTTTTGAGTATGAGTTAACTGAGTGTCAATGCTACGGAGAGACGAGGAGGGGAGGAGACGAGAGGATGAAAAGGCAGAGATGTCACAGCAATAACATTAACCCCATCTTGAGGACACCTATGCGACCACCCTTCGGGTGAGGCTCGAATCAACGTCCCACTCAATCGATCTCATCAGTGATCTCACGATTGATCTCATTACCAATCTCACTATCGATGCCATATCTATCTTACCATCGATCTCCCTATCAATCTCGCCATCGATCTCATTACCAATCTCACTATCGATATCACGATCAGTCTCACGATCGATCTTAGTATCGATATTATTTTCGGTCTTACTATCGATCTCACTATCGATCTCACTCTCGATTTCACTACGGGACACCGACGGGAGTTCGACGCGATACCGACGGGACACCGACGGGACACCGACGGGACACCGACGGGACACCGACGGGACACCGACGGGACAGCGACAGGACACTAACGGGACACCGACGCGACACCGACGGGACACCAACGGGGTAACACGGCGGGACAACCCGGCCACCGCTTGTCCACCGGGGGAGGTTCGGACATTTGTCTTGCCCCGCCCTAGCAACAGCGGAGTCCCACGCAGTGCCGCCTCGCCCGCACGCACGACACGAACCCGAACCCGAATCCGAAACCGATTTTCGGGTGGGGGGCTCTCCGTTCAACTTCGATCACACCCCCTTACTTGCAGTGAGGATTAATTTCGAAAGCCGTGCTACCGGCTGTAGTATGATCCCTCGTAGGAGTTGTCGTAAGAGTTGCTGCAATATTTGTATAGAGACTTTGGGGGGAGCTGTATTACTAGCTGGAGTTGGAGATGACGTAAGACCTCCTCGAGGAGCTGCAGTTGGTAGGCTGCAGTAAGAGCTGCAGCGAGAGCTGTACAACTAGCTGTACTATGAGCTGCAGTGAGACCTGGACGATGGGCCGTGTAAGGGAACAGTGGTAGGAACGGGGTAAATTTTCGGTTGCAGAGTCTGCAGTAGGTTCTGCAGTAGCGGCTGGTGTAGAGATCGTTTTTCTAATTCCCCTGGGGGCAACGCGTGTTACCTCCCCCCAGACGCCCCCCTGTAACAGTGGCGCTTGCAAGCCAGGCGCAAGCGTGAATCTTTGCAGCTTTCAAAGGACATTGTAAGAAGTACCCAGGCCGTCCGGAGCACACAGGCATCGACGTGCACGTAGGGCCAGCGCTTTGCGGCGTACACGGGCGCTGTGGTGCACGCAGGCCTTGTGGCGTACGCGTACGGTGCGGTGCACATGGCTATTGTAGTGTGCACAGGCAGGCGTTGTGATGCACGGAAGCAGTGTGGTTTACACAGGCGTTGTGGTGCACGCGGCTGCTGTGGTGTGCACAGACGTTGTGGTGTACGCAAGCGTCGCGGTGCAGCAGGATGATGTCAGAGGAGGAGGGGCAGGGCGATGAGGAGGAGGAGGAGGCGGAGGGCACTACTGGCCACCACCATTGTTGAGGCCTTTCCCGCGAAAGCTCTGAAGGACGAGTCTCGAGGGCTTCCAGAGTCTGCGGCTAGTCCCGCGAAGAGGCGGAGGAGGAGGAGGAGGAGGAGGAGGAGGAGGAGGAGGAGGAGGAGGAGGAGGAGGAGGAGGAGGAGGAGGAGGAGGAGAGGGAGAAGGATGAGGAGGATGAGCAGGAGGAGGAGGAGGTCCAGCAGGGGGAGGAGGAGGGGCCCTCTGGAGCGAGCGGGCCCTCTGTGTCGCAGTCGGCCGTTCGCGGTCGTTGCCCTGTGGCTCTGGTGGCGACGACGGGACGAGAGGAGGGCGAGGAGGAGGCGGAGGGGGAGGTGGAGGAGGGCGAGGAGGAGGAGGAAGAGGAGGAGGAAGCTGGATGGCGCACTGGCGCATACAAGCACAACGTGGCGCCCTCAAGCTACTAATGTGCCCGCTGGCACGTTTGGCGTTGTGGTGCACACACAGGCGTTGTGGTGCGCAGAGGCATTGTGGTGTGCACAGGCGCAGCGGTACACATGGTTGCTGTGGTGTACACAGGCGCTGTGGTGTACACAAGCATTCTGTTGCACACAGGCACCGTGGTATGCACAGGCGCAGTCGGGCATGCGGCTGCTGCAGAGTACACAGGCACTGTGGTGTGCACAGGCGACGTGGTGCTTTGGTGCGCGCGGCTGCTGTGGTGTATGCAGGCGCTGTTGTGTACGCAGGCGGCGCTGTGTTACACGCACGTATTGGGCATAGTCGTGTACACGGGGACTGACACGCAGGCATTGAGCATTGTCGTGTGCACAGGGACTGTGGTGCACACAGGCGATTTAGGTGCTGGTGGCTCGGACCCACCCTGGCGGGTGCACACCGCGGCCGCTGTTACAGTTACCCCACCGCCCGCCCCCCTCTCCCCCCGGGTAACACGTGTGACCCCCAATGAATACAAGGACGACGTCGTATTCGATGCAGTGGGAGTTGCATCAGGAACCCCACTCAGGTAGGTAGGATGCGTACAATTACCAGCCGTACGAGCTGTTGTAAGAGTTGTAGTGGGATATGTATTAGTTGCTGCAGTAGGAGCACCTGTATGACCTGCAATATGATCTTTTCAATCTTGTTTGGAATTGTAATAAGAGTTGTTGTTAGAGCTGTACTGCGGGCTGGAGTAGGGATTTCCGTATGAGTTTTAGGCAGGCTTGTACTGGCTGTAGTTGAACATGTAGTACAAGCTGTAGTATGAGTTGTAGAACCAGTGAAAGCTGTGCTACTGACTGCAGTAGAAGTTGTAGTAGGAACTGCGGTAGGGCCGACTGATAAGTATCCTGGCGAGGAGCCCAACCATGTGCAGTTGTCAATGCCGCAGTTGTGAATCTCGTCTTCGGTGGAGGCCCTTACGGGGCCACAAAACGGTGTCACTGGGGCATTCGGTGGAGCTCCCTACTAGGCTACGAACAGTGTGAGCCATGCGCCGTGATGGTGAGGGGGGCGCATGCGGACGTCGCCTTTCGGCCCTTCGGTAGAGCTCCCTGTGGGGTCATGAACCGTGGTGAGGGGTGTGTTGGAATTTGCAGCGCGGATGCATGCGCATGGTGCCACTGAGGTCTCCGGTGTAGCTCCCTATGGAGCACGGGCCGTGGTGTGTGTGTGTGTGTGTGTATGTGTGTGTGTGTGTGTGTGTTGTGTGTGTGTGTTGTGTGTGTGTGTGCCGAAATGCGTGGCGCGGACGCATGTGAACGGTGCCGCTGTGGCTTTTTCCTTATGGGGCCACGAACCGTGTGATTGGTGTGCCGAAATGGGCGGCGCGGTTGCATGCCAGCGGTGCCATTTGGGGCCTTCGGTGGAGCTCCCTTTTTGGCCACGAACGCAACAGGTGTGCCGAAAAGTGCGGCGCGGACGCATGGGAGCGTCGGCGCTGAGGCCTCAGGTGGAGCTCTGTATGTGGCCACGAGCCGTGTGAGAGATGTGCTGGAATGTGTGGCGCGGGCGCATGCTAACGTCGCCACTGGGGCGTTCGGTGGAGCTACTTGTGTGGCCTCGAACCGTGTGAGGGGTGTGCCGAACTGTGCGGCGCGGCGCATGCGAACGTTGCCTCTCGGGCCTTCGGTGGAGCTCCCTGCCTGTGGGGGCACGAACAGCGTGAGGGGTGCGGCGCGGACGCATGCGAGGGTCGCCGCTGGGTCTTTCGGTGGAGCTTCCTATTGGGCCACGAAATGTGTGAGAGGTGCGCCGAGATGGGGGGACGGACGCATGCGAACGTCGCTACTGGGGCCTTCGGTAGTGCTTCCTATGGGGTCACGAGCCGTGGTGATGTAGCGTGTCAGAAGAATGTGCGGCGCGGATGTGTGCGAACGGTGCCAGGGGGGCCTCCGGTGTCGCTCCTTATGGCGGCAGGAACCGTGTGGGGTGTGTGCCGATCTGTGCGGCGCGGACGCATGCGAACGGTGCCACTTCAGCTTTTCCCTATGGGGCCACTAACCGTGTGATGGGTGTGCCGACATGTGCGGCGCGGACCCATGCGAACTGTGCCACTGGGGCCTTCGGTGGAGCTCCCTTTGAGGCCACGAGCGTGTAAGAGGCGTGCCGAAGTGTGCGGTGCGGGCGCATGGGAACGTTGCCGCTGAGGCCTCAGGTGGAGCTCCGTATGTGGCCACGAACCGTGTGAGAGGTGTGCTGGAATGTGCGGCGCGGACGCATGCGAACGTCGCCGCGGGGGCTTTCGGTGGAGCTCCTTGTGGGTCCGCGAATCGTGTGCCACTGGGGTCTTCGGTGGAGCTCCCCATGGGGGCACAAACTGTGCGAGGGGTGTGCCGAACTGTGCGGCGTGGACGAATGGGAACGTCGCCGCTGCGTCTTTGTGTGGAGCTCCCTATGAGGCTACGGCCCGTGTGAGGGGTGTGCCGACATGTACGGCGCGGACGCCGCTGAGGCCTCAGGTGGAGCTCCGTATGTGGCCACGAGCCGCGTGAGGGGTGTGCTGAAATGTGCGGCGCGGACGCATGCTCACGGTGCCACTGGGGCCTTCGGTAGAACTCCCTATGCGGCCACGAACCGTGTGATGGGTGTGCCGAAATGTGCGGTGCGGACGTATGCAAACGGGGCCACTGCGGCCTTCGGTGGAACTCCCCATAGGGTCACGAACCGTGGTGAGGGGTGTGCCGAGCTTTGCGGCGCGGACGCATGCTCACGTCGCTTCTTCGTCTTCCGGTGGAACTCCTGACGGGGCCACGACCCGTGTGAGGGGCGTGCCGAAGTGTGCGGCGCGAACGCATGCGAACGTCGCCGATAGGGCCTTGGGTGGAGCTCCGGGGCCACGAACCGTGTGAGGGGTGTGTCGAAACGGAGACATGCGGTGGACAGAGGCAGGGATGGGAGGAGGGAGGAGGGCGAGGAGGAGGAGGAGGAGGAAGGACTCGGGGCGCTGTTTCTTCAAAACGTAGACCCAACACCACAGGATGGCTGGGAAAGCCTGGTTCGATGATCATCATCGTTGTGGCGATGGTCGTTGACGTAGCCGACGACCTTCTTTTGAGTATGCGGTTTCGGCCAGAAGCTAGAGGGGGCCCACAGAGAGCCATTCAGTACTTCCAAAATAACGCAGGCGGCACAAACGAGCTTCTATTCAATAGTCCATCCCCGAAGTACGTCTAGTTACCACGCACGAGCGCTGTGCACGGTACGCGCACGGAGCACGGAGCAGCGAGAATTCTTTCCGGCTGCGGGAGCCTTGCAGGCTGCAAATTGCCTGCTTCCAACTGCAACTAAGGTCTTATCAAGGGAGCCTTGACGCAGGCTGCGCCGTGGACAAGTTCCGCATGGCGCGCTTGCGAGAGCGGCTGAAGCTGGCAGTCGTGGGCAAACTGGAGGAGAAGTTCCGGCACTGTCCCACGAAGAGATCGCTTCTGCGGGGGCCGATGTTTCGAGAAAGGTTTGATGATCATGTGTATGTTCTGTTCCCCGTGACCGCCAAATTGACAATTACACGGAGAGGAGGGCCTGGCTTCGAGCCTCCGTCGAGCGTCGAGGCGCTGGTGCAGCCAGTTCAGCTCGCAGTCGACAACAGACAGGTGGAGAGCTTCAATAGGATCATCACGCACGTGCACGACTGGTTCAGAAATTCTTCGATGTCTTGCACGAAGCCTCCCTATGGCATCCTGGAGCTGCGATGCCACCTTTCCGACGCGGATCACCGCGAGCACGTGCGGTGGTGGTGGCGGCATTGTGTGCGCGTGATCCAGGCGGACTGCCTTCTCTCTCCCTCCTTCCTCCTCCCTCCACCCACCTTCCTCCCTCCCTCCCTCCTCCCTTCTTCCTTCCTTCCTCCCTCCCTCCTTCCCTTCCTTCCTTCCTCCTTCCTTCCTTCCTTCTTCCTCTTACCTCCTCCCTCCTTCCTTCCTCCCTCCCTCTCTCCTTCCTCCTCCCTCCTCCCGCCCCTCTAGCCATTTCCGGCTCGAGTCGGCACACTCACCGTTGATCAGCGCATTTGGAAGTGGCACCGCTGGCAACCAATCATCACCCGATCACGCGCTTCGCAGGTCTCAGGCAGGCGGCCGCCGTCGGGACTGCACGTCGCTGCAGGAGTGGACATGCAGGGGCAAGTGCGGCGGCTTCTGCAATCCGGCTGGCGTGCGCAATGTCTCCGGTGCGGAGCCATGCTGCCAGACCGGGTCTTGCGCGCCATTGCTGCCGAGAAGTTCAAGCTGGCCGCTGCCGTGCCCAATCCGCCGTGGGGGCGCTGAGGTAACGGCGCGCCAGGCGGAAGCAAGGGTAGCAAGAGCCCGAGTATGGAAGAGGTCGAGGAGGCCGCCATCCAGAAGTACAAGGATCAGAATTCGGCGAAGGCCAAGGCTAAGGGGCCCGAGTGGCTGGACAGCGCCACGGCCATGCTGTCCCTGGCCGACCCCAAGGAGGAGGAGGAGGAGGAGGAGGAGGAGGAGGAGGAGGAGGAGGAGGAGGAGGAGGAGGAGGAGGAGGAGGAGGAGGAGGAGGAGAGGAGGAACAGGAGAAAGGCTCCGTGGGCTACACCACCACCAAGTCGCTGCAGGATCTGCATATGCGGCTCGGTCGGAAGGCCCAGCAGGTCGCGGCGTCCGAGCAGCGCCTTGCGGAACGCGAGGCGGCCGTTCTCGCAACCATCGAGGCCGAGGGACTCGGAGGCGCGGCAATTGGCTGCCCACCAGCGCGCCCATGAGGACATCCGGAAGGTCATCAAGCAGAAAGCGCCGGGCCAGGCGCTGCCGCCTGACATCGAGGCCGATGACCTCCAGAACACCGAGGCCAACGAGGTGCTCGGCATCGCGCAGGCTGCCTTCAAGGCCCTTGCGAAGCTCAACCTCGAGGGGAGTTGGGAAAACGTTGGCGATCGGGTCGAGGCGCTCCGGGTGCGGTGCCGCCAGGACGCCGAGGAGAGCGCTCGCTGCGCCGCGGCTGCTGACGCCAGCGCGGCTGCTGCTGGCCGCGGTGCTGCTGTTGCTGCTGCTGGGTCGGCCACGCCGGCAGGTGGCGCTAGCAGCATGGACATCGATTGGGACGCCCCCGACCCCGACCTCGCCCAGGAGCTCGGGACGGCCGGCATCGACACCTCCGCACCTGCTGGGAGGGAGCAGGCCAAGCGCTTGCTGCAGCTCCTTCAGTCCGCCGCCAAGCGGCCGCGGCAGTGGTAACACAGGAGGCGGCGTGAGGAGGAGTGAGGAGGCTGAGGGGCTGCGAGGGAGGGCAGACTTCTTGACCATTCTGGGAGCGAGTGTGAATTCATGGAGCAGTCTCCCCATCCTCTGGTCCTGGCTCCAGCAGAAGGAGGGTGTTTCGGGACGCCTGGCGGCAGCGGGGCTGACACCGCAGCAGCCGCGCGCGGACTGTGTCTGCGTGCAGGAGACACACAATAAGACGGTTGCGAAGATAATCGGCGCCAGGAGCTTCTCAGAGGCCGCGCACATGCAGGGGTCCTTCGGACACGCGCTGCCTACAGGGGAGGGCGCGCTGGAGAGTTCGAGAGGCATCGAGGTTCTTGCTCACCGCGCTGTGGCCTCCGCTCCACTGGAGGTGGAGCTCGGCAGCTACGAGCACCGTATCGTGAGCCGGGTGCTAATGTAGCCGTCCCAGGGGGAGTTGCCCTCCTCTCGGTCTACGGCGAGACCAGCGTTGGGATCAAGGGCACGTTCGCCCTACTGCACTTCCTCTGCACTTCCTCATGAAGCTGGTGCTGAGCATGGACAGGATGTGGATCATCCAGCCTGATTGGAGCGTCACGCCCGACGAGCTGGAGCGGTCGGGATTTTTGCGGGTGACGCGCGGCGCATTCGCCGCCGGCGCAGGCCGGACCTGCTGGGCTTGCAGCAGCGAGGCCAAGCAGTTTTTGCGGCAGCAGCAGCAGAGCAGCAGCAGAAGCATCTCAGGACACCGCTGGAGGGGGCTGCCGCCGAGACAGGCAGCTCACTGGACTGTTTCGTTATGTCGGCCGCCTTGGCCAATTGTGTGACGCAAGTGCAGGTGCGGTCCCAGGCGCCGCTGCGCCCCCATCCGCCCTTTCTCCTACGCTTGGAAGGGCTGCGCGCCGAGCGGATGGTCACCCGGCCGCTGCGCTACAAGCCGTTCGCGCGCAAGCCCACGTTCGGGCCGATGCGGGAGCATGGAGCATGAGCTCCGTTTTGGAGTTGGGAGGCCGGCGTGCATTCGGCGGCCCCCATCGGCAGGATGGTGGCCGGAGTAGTTCGAGTGCCCCGAGCGGAAATATGGTGCGCGAGCAGGACAGCGACAAGGCGGAGGCCAGAGAGTACGGGGGGCAGAGCAAGTGGCCCCCGGACCAAGGAGGTTCCCTTGGGGGATCTGTGGCAACGGGAGGTGCGAAGTCGTCGCTCCCCCGCCACGGTTGCGTGGATTGGTTTGTGCGCCCTCATGCGGAAAAAGCCGCAGCCGCCGCGCGCGCCTACATGCGGGGACCGTGGCCGGGAGAGGCTGGTGGAGTGGCAGGGCAAGACGGAGTCCATGGTCGAGGACTTGGAGATTAAAGAGGCTGGGAAGCCCGGGAAGCAGCAGCTGCTGACCCTGACCCGTGCCAGGGATGCGTGGGCGAGCAGACCATGGAGCTGCTGAAGGAGGAGCCGGCGCAGCGTCGGCAGGTCGATGCATCCGATCAGGCTGCTTCCTGGCATGCCTGGGCGAGCGTGCAAGGCTGGCGACCGGAAAGCGCGCCGCTACGCCAGGAAGCGGCAGGAGGAGAGCAGCGACTTGCTCCAGGGTGGCGACCATGGCCCTCCCATGCCTGTGAGCGGCCAGGGAGCCCTGGAGAAGATCCTGGAGGATTGGCTTCCGATGTGGTGCCACAGCGCGGAGGGTGATGCGCATCCCTCCGCTCGGGCAGTGGGTGAGGAGCAACTGCCGCCGCTAACACTGGATCAGTTGAAGGTTGTATGTCGGTGCTACGGCCCCTCTGCAGGGCTAGGCTGGGACGGCCTGAACCCCAGGGTCCTTCTGCAGCTGGGGGATGACGCACTGCAGCGCTTCCTCGACATCGTCGTGGCCTTGGAGGATCGCCCAGGCACTTTCGAACCCTTCTTGACGCAAACCATCTTCATACCGTACCCAGTGTCGGAGGCGGCGGCGCTCGGCCGATGGGCCTCCTGGCTTTGTTTTCACGCCTCTGGTCGGAGCTGCGGCGCCCGTGCTGCGCTGCACGGGAACGGGTGCTCAGCGAGGATTTCTTCTGGGGCAGCTCCTCGCTCCAGAGCTGCCACTGGGCTGGATGCACCCACAACGAAGTCGGCTTCTGTTCGGCCACAGCGGCGCTGGACCTCAAGAAGTTCGACGAGTACGTCCTCTTCGAACATGTGTGCGACGCTGCGGTGACCCACGCCTTCCCTCTGAAGGTCGTGCGGGGCCTGTGCTGCATTTGTGCGGGCCTCCGCGCGGTCGTATACGCTGGGAGCGCGTCGGAGCAGTTCGGGGCCACGGCGGCCACCATAGCAGGGTGCAGCTAGGGCCACCTCGCTGGCGCGGCTCCTCCTGCTGAGGCCAATGTGCACGGCCAAGGTAGGCAGGCCTGTGGTCTCGCTCGGAAGCGTGGTTGACGACATCATGGTGCGCGGCACTGGTTCCAGGGATCTGGTCGCCGCGTAGGTGGGCAGCATCATCGCCAGCTTGATGCGCTCCGTCGCGGAATTGGGCCTGTCATTCGCGGATCAGAACAAGTACTTGGCTAGCGACGGCGCCTTGGACCAGCTGCTCAGCGCTCCCTGGTCTCTGCCGCCTACGAAGAGGGCGCACTCCCTGAAAGCTCTGGGCTCCCATCACACGGCGGGAGGCCGTCGCGGCGTAGCCACTCGGCAGGAGCGAGGGCAGGAGGCCGAGGGGCGCAATGGTAGGTGCCAGCACATTTGCGCAGCAGAAGCGGGAGAGATTGGCATGCTGCAGCGCATGGGCGCGACCGGCAGCGCCCTGTGGGGCGCGGCTGCCGCGGGTGTTGCTGGCAGCAGGCTTCGGGGCTTGCGGGGGCAAGCGGTGGCGGTTGCAGGGCGCCTGCCGCGCGGGGCATCGCTGGGCATCCGCCTTCACTGCCATTCGGCTGGGTGCATACTGGACCCGCTCGTGATCCACAGCATGGGTGTCATCTGGATGTGGGCGGTCACCATGCGGGATCAGGAGGTGAAGCCAAGAGTGCTGGAGGTCACGCTGGCGGCCGCGGCGGCGAAAGCTAGCCGTCCGCAGCACCCGTGGAGGACGGCATCAACGCCTGCAGACACTGCTTTTTCCACCTTGCAACGTCTGGGATGGCGGTTGCACGGGCCTTTCCAGCTAGAGTCATACGAGAAGGTGCGGTGCGATCTGAGGCGCGTGGGGCCGCGGCAGATCCAGGAAGAGGTCAGGAAGGGCACGGTCCCAGTCTCGGACATAATGGCGCTGCAGCGTACGCGCAAAGGCAAGGGGGTCGCAGCGGGCGAGGCGCAGTCGAGCGTGCCCGTCTTCTAGACCCCGTTGCGTCGCTTGTTCCGAAAACGTTCCGCCGCGTGTGTGTGTGTGGGGGGGTGCCAGCAGGCAGCACTGCGCGCTCTTGTGCCCAACGTGCACTGAACGCAGGCGCGGCTCCATGCGCGCGGCCTGGTAGCCTCGCCAGTCTGCCGCCTGAGCGGGTGGGGCAAGGGCGCCGCATGCCACCGCCACTACGAATGCGACGCCCATGCCGCGCTGCGCCGGGACCGAGCCCCGCGCGAGTTATGCGACGGGGCAGCGCGAGTGCACGCGTGGAGCGAGGAGGAGGCCGAGCGCTTCTGCCGTGGACTCTTGCCTGGCCGGCGGGTTCTCTTCCCCAGGCGGGGGCCAGCAGAGGTGGTGCAGTGGATCAACCGCTCAGTGGCGCGTTGTTCCTCGACGGGGGCGCGTCGGACAGGAGCCGTGTCGGGCTGGAGAGGGCGGGCTGGGCGGTCGTGCAAGTGGAGCGCTTCGGAGCCTTCGGCGCCGCGCCGCTGGCCAGCCATGGCGCCTGGCCAGACGGCGCCAGACGCAGGAAATTACGCTGCCTTCGTTCTCCAGCATGTGGCCATGACCCCCATGGAGTTGTGCATCGATTGCGCCATCGCGCTGAGGCTCCCGGCGGGGCATGGGGCTGGCGCGGCCGCCTCGGCGCCGAGGCCGGGCGTGTGGGGGCTCTTTTGGGGTGCGTTCACGGCGGGCGACTTCGAGGCGCACAGGACGCGTGCGCACTTCGCGCCGGCCGATGTGGAGGTGGGCCGCAAGACCCACTGGGAACGGCGCGCCAACGGCCACGCGGACGAGTTGGCCAAGCGAGGCGCCAGCCTCCACCCCCTCGGCGCCGAGGACGAAGAGCTCTGGAAGGGCCTGGAGGCGCTGGCTGAGGAAGCGGCTCTCTGGAGCGCAACATTGGAAGCCTCGTTCACCGACCAAGGCCGGTTGGACCACGAGGATGTGCTGCGTTGCAAGCATGAGGGGGCTGCAGGCTCTAGCGCAGAGGAGGTGGATGGCGCCGCGGCCGAGTCGCAGGTCGACTTCGACGCGGCGCCGGGCGCGGGGCCCCCACCTGCCGAGGAGAAGCCCCAGAGCGCCCACCTGGACTCGGCGAGGCTGTCGCTCAGCTTCGACCGCAGCTGGGGCGAGCTGCAAGAGCGGGCAGCGCGCGTCAACAGACACGTCCTGCTCCTTTGCGGCATGGAGCAGCAGCCAGGAGCGAGCGTTGTCTTCTGCCTGGGCCGCGGGGGAGTGGGCGGGCAGGGCGCCAGGCAAGCTCCCGGCGCGCTGCGACGGGCTCAAAACCCATGCTGGCTGCGAGCACGCGGGCAGCTATGCCTCATCAGCGAGGGCAGGTGGCAGTGCTACCGGCCCGCCCACCCGCATGAAACACTGGAGGGGCCAAGGGCATTCAGCGCCGAGCGGACGGGAGTGGATAGCGCCCTCGGCGGCATGCCCACCGAGCGCGCCCGCGCGGCAACTGCGGCTCTGGCGGGGCGCGCCGCGACCGAACCGCTGCTAGGGGCCGCTGCGCGGCGGCGTGCCCTCGCGGCCTTCGACCTGCGCATGGCGGACCTCGAAGGCGTACGGGTGCGGGGCAGGCGGGGGGCCTTGCCCCTGGGCTCCGACGTCGAGTCGGGCACGTCCTGAGCCACTACCATTGCCATTACCTCCCTCCCCCTCCCCCTCCTCCCTCCCTCCCTCCATCTCTCTCTCTCTCTCTCTCTCTCTTTCTCTCTCTTTCTCTTTCTCTTTCTCTTTCTCTTTCTCATTCTCTTTCTCTTTCTCTCTCTCTCTTTTTCTTCTCTCTCTATGTATGTATGTATGTATATATGTATGTATGTATGTATGTATGTATGTATGTATGTATGTATGTACGTATGTATGTATGTATGTATGTACGTACGTACGTACGTATGTATGTGTGTATGTATGTCTGTCTGTCTGTCTGTCTGTCTGTCTGTCTGTATGTTTGTATGTATGTATGTATGTGTGTGTATGTATGTATGTATGTATATATGTAATGTATGTATGTAATGTAATGTATGTACTGTATGTATGTATGTATGTATGTATGTATGCATGCATGTATGTATGTATGAATGTATGTATGCATGCATGCATGCATGCATGCATGCATGTATGTATGTATGTATGTATGCATGTATGTATGTATGTGTGTATGTATGTATGAATGTATGTATGTATGTATGTATGTATGCATGCATGTATGTATGTATGTATGTATGTATGTATGTGTGTATGTGTGTGTATTTATATTTATATTTATATATATATATCCCAACCATGGTGTGGTGTTGGGTCCTCGTTTTGAAGAGACAGCGCCCCGCGTTCCTCACTCCCTCCCTCCCTCCTTCTCCCTCTCCTCCCCCTCCTCCCTCCTCCCTGCGTTTCACCCACCCAGTGCAGCGCTTCGTGGCCCCATAGGGACCTCCACCGAAGGCGCCAGTGCCACCGCCTGCATGCGCCCCGAAACATCCAATTCGGCATTTTCACCCACCCAGTACAGCGCTTCGTGGCTCCATAGGGAATTCCACCGAAGGCCCCAGAGCCACCGTCCGCATGCGTCCCGAAACGAAGCGTCAACTTTTTTGGCATTTTCACTCACCCAGTATACTTCGTGGCCCCATAGGGAGCTCCACCGAAGGCCCCAGAGCCACCATCCGCATGCGTCCCGAAACATCCAATTTGGTATTTTCGCCTACCCATTACAGCGTTTCGTGGCCCCATAGGGAGCTCCACCGAATGCCCCAAAGCCACCGTCCGCGCGCGCCCCGAAACATTCGCTTTTCACCCACCGAGTACAACCTTTTCGTGGTCCCATAGGGAGCTCCACCGAAGGCCCGAGTGCCACCGGCCGCATGCGCCCCGAAACGCCCAATTTGGCATTTTCACCCACCCGGTACAGCGTTTCGTGGCTCCATAGGGAGCTTCACCGGGGGCCCCAGTGCCACCGTCCGCGCGCGTCCCGAAACATCCAATTTGGCATTTTCGCCAACACAGTGCAACGTTTCGTGGCCCCATAGGGAGCTCCACCGATGGCCCCAGTGCCACCGCCCGCACGCGTCCCGAAACATCCATTTCGGCATTTTCACCCTCCCAGTACAGCGTTTCGTTGCTTTACAGGGAGCTCACCGAAGGTCCCACTGCCATCGTCCGCGTGCGTCCGGGAACATCCACTTTGGCATTTGCACTCACCCAGTACAGCGTTTCGTGGCACCATCGGGGGCTCCACCGAAGCCACCAGTGGGATCGCCCGCATGCGTCCCGCAGGCCGAATTTGGCATTTTCACCCGCCCAGTACAGCGCTTCGTGGCCCCATAGGGGGCTCCACCGATGGCCCCGGTGCTACCGCCCGCATGCGTTCACCTCCACCCAGTGCAGCGCTTCGTGGCCCCATAGGGAGCTTCACAGAAGAATATATTCACAATTGCAGTGCCCACAGCTGCATATGGTTGGGTCCCTCGCCAGGATTTTATTTATCTGTTTATTTTATTTATATATATATATACACATTGTTGTTGTTGTTCTCTCCCTCTCTCTCTATTGTTTTGTTTCTCTCTCTCTCTCCCTCTTTCTCTCTCTCCCTCGCCCTCTCTTTCTCTCTGTCTTTCTGCATCTAATGGCCTTCGTCCCATCTCGCCACCGTGCTTGGGTTGTGGGTCATAGGCCTCTTGGATGTTCGTGGGGATGCCGTGGGAAGCTTCCCGGGGGCCTTCTGGAGGCAGTTGGGAAACCTCTTGGGGGCCGTTTTGTACCGTCTTGGGGCCTTTTGGAGCCCTCTTGGGGTGTCTTGGAGCGGAAGGCTATAATTTTCGGTTCGGGTTCCCCTCGTGGGCCCTTCTTGGGGCCGTGTCTGGGCTCTCTTACGCCGTCGAGGGCGCCTCTTGGGCCGTCTTTGGGCCCCCTTGGGGGCCTGTTGGGTCATCTTGGGACGATGTTTGAGACCTCTTGGATCGTCTTAGACGCGGTGAGAAAAACATGCGTGTTCATTTGGGATTTCGGCGATTTTTGTCTCTTGGTGCCCTCTTGGGAGGTCTTGAGCCGTCTTGGGCGCCTCTTCAGCCGTCGTCAGGCCATCTTGGACGTCTTGGACCGATCGTTCGGCGATTGGGAGCCCTCTTGGGCCGTCTTGGAGGCCTCTGGGGCGTTTTTGGGGCATGCGGGAAGGTGTGGCAATCCGCAGGGAATTTGAGAACTAGGAGATTTGAGAACCATCAAGGATTGGGGGCTGAGACCGGAAGGAGGCCAAAGGACTTGAGGACACTCCGGCTCGCGCCTCAGGGCACGGAGGCGGATCTCTCTGTGTATCTATCTTTTGTTCATCCAGGTGAAGCTCAACATGAAGCCAGGCCAGTTCGGTACGAACTTTAAGGCCGATCTGGCGAAGCCGCTGGAAGACGAGTACCTCAACCTGATGATCCGGGACGACTTCGGGGACGAGCTCAAGCGGAAGCTGAAGCTCTTCGACCACGACCAGAAGAGGTGCCTGGACATCCAGGCTCGGGGCGAGGGAGAGGAGCGGGGACGAGAGGGGGGTGCGAGGGCGGGAGGAGGGTGCAGCACGGGAGGGGGAGCGACTCAGCGGGTTCCCGGCGGGGGTGGGTGGGATGGGGTGTGGCGGTGGGCCTGTGGGTGGTCTTTGGCCCGTGGCCCGTGAGCTGCGGCCCGCGGGGGGAGGAGAAGCAGGAGGAGGGGGAGGAGGGAGGAGGGAGGAGGGAGGAGGGAGGAGGGAGGAGGGAGGAGGGAGGAGGAGGAGAGGAGGAGGAGGAGGAGGAGGAGGAGGAGGAGGAGGAGGAGGAGGAGGAGGAGGAGGGAGGAGGAGGAGGGAGGAGGAGGGAGGAGGAGGGGGGGGAGGAGGAGGGAGGAGGAGATAGAGGAGGGAGGAGGAGGGAGGAGGGAGGAGAGAGCAGGAGGATGAGGAGGAGGAGGAGGAGGAGGAGGGACGAGCACGGATAGTGATCGTCGACAGGATGACTGCGATGCTGACGGTTCTGGTGGTGACGATGCTGCTGATGCTGCTGCTGCCGATGATGAGTGATGATGGTTACTCTGCCGAGATTTATGATGATGCTGATGCTGAGGATGGTGAGGATGATGATGATGCTGATGGTGGTGGTGGTGGCGGTGGTGGTGATGATGATGATGATGATGATGATGATGATGATGATGATGATGATGATGATGACGATCATGGCTGTGGAGGAGGGGTAGGTGGAGGATGAGAGTATGGTGATGGTAGTTAAGGTGATGATGCGAATGACGAATATCCCGTTGAGGAGGATCACGATGAGCTTGGTGATGAGGGAGGTGGAGTTTGATAAGAAGGATGCGGAAAGGGTGGAGGTGGAGGTGGATGATGCTGATGATGCTGCTGCTGCTGATGATGATGATGATGGTGATGATGGTGGTAGTTGTGATGATGTTGACGAGGAGTAGTGGGGGGGAACAGGCGGAGGAGGAACAATCATCATGGTTAGAAGAGAGTGAGGAGGATGGGCAGCCAGATGCGGACGCGGTTGATGTAGATGATGCTGACGATGCTCTTTGATGGCGATTGTGAGAGTGAGGAGGAGCAGGTGAAATTGGGCAGAGGATGCGGATGGCTAATTATCATGATGATGGGGACGATGAGGAGGATCAGGTGGATGAGAAGGATGACGGTTACGAGCGCGCGCTGACGCCATGAATTGCCGCGCGAAGGAGAAATCGCCGTGCGAAGACAACACGCCACGTCACACAGTTTCAGTTATCATGCCAACCCTGGACTCAACCCATGAATATACTGATAGCAAAGGCATAAACATAAACTGTCGGATGTCCGCGTGGATTTGGTGGGTCGGCGCTGGACTTCCCCTGTCGGCGCCTCTGGCTCCGACCCAGGGAATCCTCGCGGACCTCCGAACGCTTTCGCAAGTTAAGTTAAGTTAGTCTTCTTCTTCTTCTTCTTCGTATAAGTGGTGTCGTGTGTGGTGCCCCAAGGTCCTATTGACCGGCCAGGGACCGTGAAGTCATAGGTAAGGCTGTTACTGAGAGAGGAGGGGGAGAGAGAGAGAGAGAGATAGAGAGATACAGAGAGAGAGAGAGAGACAATTCAAGGGAGGTTCTGTGAAACTCACATCATCCAGACCCCCAGCGCGCGAGGAAGTCAGGCCAACATCGGCGCTTCCTGCACCGTTTCGGGCTCCGCGGGAAGCTTCCCAAACTGGCGTTCTCGCCTGGGACGTCCTGGCGAAATCGGCCTCGGGGGGCGGCAGGGGGCGAGAGTACCTCCTTACACCTTTTCCGGCGAATGCGGCGAATCAGGCGCACTCCTGGTCAACCTCAGAGCGGTCGGCTTGAAATAAGCAAACAAAGCGCAGAGGTCCACGCCAGGAGTTCAGCATATCCACCTAGTTGGAGACGCGGTCCCTCGAGGATCTCGCAAAGCGTTGGGTATGGCTATGTCTTGCCCCCTGAGCGAGGGGGGGGGAGAGAGAGGATATAGAGAGGGACACCTATATATATATATATATATATATATATATATATATATATATATGCATAGAGAAAAGCAGCAACTAACAATAGAGAAACAGCAGATGGAGAGAGAGGGAGAGAGCGCAACACATCGGACAGCGAGTCTGTCCTCGCCCCAATGCTGCCAGCGCCAGGCAGGCCGTCCTCGCATTCGCGGGAGGCGCCGCATATGTAACAGGGGCGGTGGGATGACCTCTCTTTTGGCGCGGTCGGCGGGGACTCCGACATGAGAAAAGGGGCGGGCGGCGGTGATCAGGGCGCTATCTGGCTCGTCTGCGCCCCCGTAACTCCGAGAGGCACCCATGTGTAGCACGCTTCTGCATGCGCACTTCGGAACTCACTAATACATCGGCGCTGAAAGAGTTTCGCCACGAATTGAGACTCCATCGTTTTGTGTTGGCAGGCCAGGATCCCGACGGGTGGGATTTATATATAATTTCATTTTCTATGAATAAATAAAACGCCGGTTTTTTTAATCTACCACGTTTTGAATATCGGAGGTTGGGGGGTGAGATCGAAGTGGGATGGAGAGCCCCCCACCAGGAAATCGGTTTCGGTTTTGTGTTCGTGCGTGCCGTGCGTGCCGGCGAGGCGAAGGTGCGTGGGCGGGCGACAGGAAACCCTCCTGTGGCTGAGGCGCGGCCGGACCATATGATTCTCCCTCTGGCGAGCGGTGGCGCGCGGTGTCCCGCCGGTATCCCGCCGGTGTCCCGCTTGTGGCTGGGCCCTGGCCGGACCAAATGATTCTCCCCCCGGCAAGCGGTGGCGCGCGGTGTCCCGCCAGTGTCCCGCCGGTGTCCCGCCGGTGTCCCGGTGTCCCGCTGGTGCGGTAACGATAGTGGCACCGATGACGAAATCGATTATGAGATCGATCGTGAGATCGATAGTGAGACCGCTCGTGAGATCGATCGTGAGATCGAGAGTGGGATCGATAGTGAGATGAATCGTGATATCGATTGTGAGATCGAGTGATACCGATAGGGACATCGCTAGTGGGATCGATAGCGAGATCCACAGTGAGATCGACAGTAAAATCGATCGAGTGAGATCGGTAATTTGTGAGATCGAATGAGATCGATAGTAGGATCGATGGTCCCATTGATCGTGAGGCCGATAACGACATCGCTTGTGATATCGATAGAGAGATCGATAATGGGATCGGTGGTGAGGTCGATCGTGATACCGATAACGACATCGCTTGTGAGATCGATAGAGACATCGATAGTGCTATTGATTGAGTGGGATCGATCGTAAGATCGATAGTGAGATCGATCGAGTAAAATCGATAGTGTGATTGATCGATCGAATGGGATCGATTATGAAAGCGATTGTGGGTCCATTGCGACATCGATTGGGTGAGACGTTGGGTCCCCCCTTCAACTCTCTTACCATCCAGGGATTTCGGCTCAAGGCTTTTGTTGCGCTCGGCACGCGGGGGGGCCGCGAACGCACCCACTTCGGTCACGCACCCCCTTCGGCCTCGCTGCGAGGGGCTAGGCTTTGTCAGCCGAAATGCTCGACAAGAATGTGGAGACGCTGAAGAACATGAACAACCAGGCGGCCAAGTACGCCAAGTGGTACGTGAAGGTCCTCGACCCGAAGGTCCTTGATTACACGTTCACAGCGAGAAGCGAAAAAGTAGCGGCGCAGAAGTTCAATTGCGTTTTGGTTTCCGACGCGCCCGCGCAGTACATGCTCGGCGGGGTGCCCTTCAGTTTCCATTATCGGAACGCGGCAGTCGAAGACTTTGAAAAAATCGCGGCAGACTCCGCGTGGGAGCTCCGTGCCCTGAGCTTCGACGCCAGAGCCAAGGCCCGTTGAAGTCGGTGGTCTTGCTTTGCAGCCCATCCGCAATGGTTCGAGTCCCGCCCGCCAGCCAGGAAGCGTTGGCGCATCCCGCTAAGGTGCTCCAGATCGCATTGGACAGCAAGGGCGTCGTTGAGATTCTCATGGAGGTTGCCGCTGGTGCATCCCGCCGGGCGGCGTTCGACTTGCGCGGCAAGTTCCTTGGCATCAGCACTTCCAAGCAGGTCGCTAAAAACGGCAACCTCCTAAAGGTGGCCGAAGCGGAGTTCGCGGGTGCCGGCGGCGGGGAGATCGTGGCGGCCGCGTGGCACAAGGCGCGCGAGTACTTCGTCTGCGCGCGCGCGGGGTCTGGCGTCGCTGTGCCCGGGCGCAGTGCCGCCCTTGAGAACGGCGAGGTGAAGATCAACATCTGGCCGGGGGCCCGCGTCGGCACCGTTGGAGACCGGGGTCAGTTTTTGACAAGCTTGGGCGCCGCCAGTGTGTCGGCCGAGGTGCTCGCCGCCCCGTGGGCGCCGTCAAGCGCCGGCGCGACGTTCGGGGCATTCTCCGCCAGAAGAACTGGGTGGTCAAGCAGTGCATCGTGGAGGTGGGCGTCGCGCCTCCGGGCGCAGTGGTTTCCGCGAGTGCCATGCGTATGTGCTGCGGCCTCTCCGCGGTGTCCGGCGATGTCGCTCTGCCGGTGCCAGTGAGTCGCGTCGTCGAGGGCCCGCTCCAAGGTCTGGCAGTCTGCCGCGGCGGTGGCAATGACATCGGTGCAAACCGGGTGTTGCTGCTGGCGCGCGGCCAGAGTGAAATCAAAATGAAGTCTTTTGACGATGAGAAGGTGCTCGCAGATCATGCCTCCAAGAGGCTTCCAAGAGGCCCCTAAGAGGCCTCCGAGACCCCCCCGAGAGGTTGAGAAGACGCGCCCGAACGGCCCCCCGAGCCCTTGCAAAACGAATTAAATAGATTATTACTTCGTTGGTCCCTGGGGGGAGTGCTGCCGAGGCGCCCGAGAGCGAAGGGTGGCGTGAACAACTCGACATCGAGGCCCCCGAGAGCGAGTGGCAACGCAACAGTCGCCACTGTTGCCCAGTGCTGGCCCCCCTCCCCCCCGACCTCCTTATTGCCCGCGGGGTGGTTGCATGGGTAAACGTTGGATAACGGGAGGAAATTTTTGGGTTCGTGAATCCCAGATCGTTGATGCGACCGCTCTTGGCCCAGCCAGCCAGGATTCCAGGGTGGAACGGGGGGCAGCTTTGCGCGGTCGGGACAGGGGCCAGCTTTCGTCCGCCCGTTCGCGCGGAAGTAAACGACGAAACTTGCATCTTCTTGTCGCTTCCATTGGACGTGGCGAACTCATGTAATGGCTTAGTTAAGGGGGTGGCTCCACCTATGAGCATCCCTCTCGCCGGCCCTGCGCGCGCAGCTACAGAACAGTTGCCTACGAGTCGCGCAGCGCTTCAGAAGTGAACAGTTGCGCACGTAGACGCGCCTGGTCACTCGCCCAGGGGGGCCCCGGCGCGAGCGGGCGATTGGGCCAGATGAGATCGGAGTCGGGGTTTTGACCATCGACTCCGCCTTTCGGCATGTCTGCGCGTGCCTTTGGGGGAGTAGATCGGTCTGGCGATCGCGAGTCGAGGCGTTGAGCGATCGGCCGCTTACCAGTTCGCATGTTATCGGGTAGTGTGTCGTGAATCGTGGATCGTCGGGGGCCCGCAGTCCCCATTTTTGGCCCATGACGCAGTGCGGCCGTATTCCGTAGTCCGTAGTTCATAGTCAGCGATCGTCAATGTTAGCGGATCCCAGTGTATGAGATTTGCCATTATGAAGTAATGGGGCACGAGACAAGTAGGCAGTTGGAGAGGGGGCTGCAGGACTCGGGGGGGAAGGGATCAGAGGGGCATGAATTAAGGAGACGCGCTAGAGAAAGGGTCGGGCAAATGCCTTTTGCGCCGTGGTGCCGCGATGCCGTGCCGCGGTGCTGTGGTCGAGTGCTAGTGCCGTGTCAGAGTGTAAGGTAACTAGACGGTATTCGTGTCCGTTGGGCCGCATCGCGTCATGTCGCCTGCCGCGCTGTGGTGCCGCGCCGTGCCGCGCCGTGCATTGACGCGCGCAACGTCTCGATCTCGGGCAGTGCCGTCGCACCGCCAAGTGCCATGGGGCAGGCGTTATCGTACAGCGGTGCCACGGTGCCGCCGTTGACCTGCCGCGCTTCGTGGTGGTGTCGCCCACCGGGGAACGTTGCGTTGGGGGCCCCGTTAATTTCTTCCGGTAGCTACTCGCGCCCCTTTCTCCTGATCAACCTCCTCTCGTCATTCTTCGCTGCTTCGCGCCCCGAATCCTTTTCCCATTACCCTCGTCCCCTTTCCTCTCTCGTCGTCCTCCTCGCCCTGCTTCTTCCCAGCTCCTGCGTTCGCTTGCCTTCTGCGTCCGATTTGTCGATGTCCCCGCCTTTTCTCCCGTCGGTTGTTCTCGTGCTGTGCCCCTCCCTTTTCTTCTTCCCGCGCAGCCGTGCCAGGCGCGAGTTGGATTTCGAAAAACAGGTCGGTCCGCAAACATTGAGGCCCAAAGTTTCTGAGCCTTCAATGCTAACCCCATCCCGGTTGCACGTTCTGTTCCTTCGTGCTGCAATGTCTGGCACGCCTCGCGCTCCCGTGGCGAAGGCGCCAGGCCCGTCGGCGCGTTCGCCTGCGATCGCCAGCCCAGCCTCTGGCACCGCGCGGACCTCCCCTGCCCAGCGCGCGCCGCTGCCGCCTGCGAAGACGAGCAACTCCACGATTGACGACGAGGCGTTGGCGCGCAGAGGGCGCTGCGTGACCATCATCGATGAGTGCATCGCGCCTTGCTTTCTTCTTGCCGCTGATCAGCGAGTTGAACAAGCGCGCGGGCACATGCCAAGGATGTGCAGTGCGCGGGCGCGAAGTTCGAGAAAGAGGCGGAGACATTCGGACAGACCGTTGAGGAGTTTCTGACCAGGATCATCACGCACTATTCGGGCCTCACGCTGGGCGAGTTCGTGAAATCGGAGCAGCAGGACAACGTTTGGTCTCCAGTGGCCGAAGGCGCTCAAGTACCCTGGGGAGGCGAAGATGGTCGAGGTGCCGTGCGTTGTCATCGTCAAGAGGATATCTGAGTGCGCCGATCGGCTGCAGCGTTTCAAGTCGAAGGGTGGCGCCCCTGTCTCGGGCTCGCTCAACTGTCGCTGCGGCTGCTGCGAGCTCGAGTTCAGCGCGGCCAAGCTGGTGAAGCTCATCTACGCCGACGGCGACGAGGTGCGCGTCCCTGGGAGCTTTGCCGTCGACTGGAGCTACGCCCTCCCTTACAACTGGTGCGACTGGGCTGCGTGCTTGCAGGAGCCGCCAGCGCCGCCAGTCAATCTTGTGGAGTTCTTCGAGGTTTCGCGCGGCGGCCCCTTCGGGCTCGGGAAAGTCAGGGCGTCGTCGAAGGACTTTGCCAAGACGGTCCAGGACGCGTTCAGCGACTGCAGGCGTGAGGTCGAGGCCGCGCGGGGCGCGAGCTCGGGGTCCGTCGGGTGCGACCCATTCGGAGATCAGCACGGAACTGAAGACGCCCTGGGCCCACAAGCAGAAGGCCACGGCGAAGGCCAGGACTTCGACTGTCGAGAAGACTACGGAGGTGAAGCGCCGCCGCGCCACCTCTCTCGCCACTGCTGCGCGAGGTATCCGACGGCCCCGCGCCGAACGCGCTGGCCCGCCGCGGGCTCGAGCGAACATGGCCAGCGTCGTCGACTGAGCTGTGCCCCTTGTTTTATACGTGCTGGCGCGTGTTTTCTTCTCCCACACCTCGTCGTTTTCGTGTCCTGGTGCTGTGTCTGTACTGGCTTGCCGCTGGGCCGCCCGAGCTTCTCGCGCGTGCTTTGCCGCGCGCAGTTTCAAAGTTCGCGAGGCCGCTCGGCCCCCAGTTGCGCTGGCGCTCTCGGGCAGGGGGTGCCTAGGGGCAAAGTGCAGCGGCGTTCTTCACAAACGGGGCCTTTTGTCTCTGCGTGTGTATATGCATACACGCACGCGTAGGTATTGCGTGTCCGAGGCGACCTGCGGTTCGGGCGATCTAGGAGATCCAGCGCCCGTGCCCCCCCCCCCCCCTTCCTCCCACTTTTAACCTTTCTGGCGAGCTTGGCGCGTCTGGCGCCTCTAGCTCCACCGCGCATCGCGTCGCGTCTCGGCTTCGGAGGCGGACGAGCTGGAGGATTTAGATGGGGTTGGGGGGATTGGAGGATGGACTAGCAGAGTTGGCGAGACGCATCAAAGGATCTAAGGGTGGAGACAAGTTTGACCAGGGAGAGTAGACGGGCAAGGACAAGGACGATGCGCGCGAGTGGTGGGCGAGCCCCGCCGACTGACGCGATGGGAGGACTTGGGCTCCACGGCGGCGCGCGCGTCGCGATGGCTTGACTGCCCCCGCGCTCTCCATTTTCGCCCGCGTCCATTCGCGGCTTCAGGGGGCTCCCCCGGGCATTCTGGATTTTGCTGTATCTTTCCGACCTTCGGGCTGTTGGATGGACCCAGCTGCCGCCGCGGACCTAGTCGGGCGATCCCCCGCGCCGGCTGGCGCGGCGGCCCCAGCAGCAGGCGATGCCGACGACGGCGCCGACGACGACGTCGACGCGCGACTTCGGCGGCGCTGAGTCGCGCGCGCGACGTTGGGCGCAGTGCACTCCAAACGAAGTCTGGTAAATTGCATCCGGTCGCCGTTGTCGCGCGTCGACGTCGTCGTCGTCGTCATCGTCGCGCGTTTTGCGCTCTTGTGCCCGTGGCGGCGCGCGCGCGCGAGAACGACGACGTTGACGCTCGACGTCGATAGAGCGCAGTTTACCCGAGGTCGCACGCGCGGCACGATGAGCTCAATGCACCCCGCGCGAAGTTGGGTAAATCATGTTCCGTCGTCGTCGCGCGTCGGCGTCGTCGTCGTTATCGCGCGGCCTGCGCAATTGGGCCCGCTGGGGGTGTCGCCCCCCGCTTTTCCTGCGGTCCAGACAATCTCGACGCCCGGCGGCTTTCGTCGGGGCCATGAGGGGCCGCGGGCATGCTTCGCGCTGTTTCGTGACCCCGCGCAAGAGCGTCACGGCTGGGGGGCGTTGCCCCCCTGTCGCTCAATCGCCGGTTGAAGGGGTGGGGCCCCGCCCCACTCCTCCATGGCCCCCCCCGCCCACTCGTCGCCCCTTCGCCGCCCTGCTTCGCCCCCCCCCCCCCCGGGCGCCACTTTCCAAGCCCCGCTCTCGGGGCCCACCCCGTCCAGCCCCCGAGCTTGCAGCCCCCCGCGGGCGGGCCGGCCGACGGCGCGGCGACCTCGGCGGCGGCGCGCGGACGGATCTTCAAGTCGTCGGGGGGGGGTCCAGATGGCGGGCGTCGTCCTCTGGCTGCGCGTGGCGCCCCCTGCTGGCGCGCGCTCGTTGGTCGACCCCCGCGGGCCCAGCGGCGGCTGCGACGCGGTCGTCGCCGCCGCGCGCCCCGGCCGCGCGCCCGCCGCCATCGACGCCGAGCCGTTCTCCCCGACGGGCCCGTCCGAGCCGAGCGCTGCCCGGGAGCGCTTCGCGGCGGAGGGGCAGGTTGGCGAATTTTCTGCGACGTCTGTCAGCGGCGCACAGGCGAAATGTGGGGGCGGCGACGTCGATGCGACGGACAGCTCTGGCGCCGCCTTCTCTTGCACCTGCTCTGCATTCCAGGCGCCGGGCCCTGGGGAACATCGGTTGGCGCTCCATCTC